AATTGAAAATAAAAATATATTTATAATATTTATTCTATTTATATTCCCTATTATTTTTGATATATTAAATATAAGAGATGTCTTAAAATCATTTATTACCCAATACAAATTTCCAACTTAAACTTAATCTTAAATTTAAAAAAATTTACAAGCTATAAAAATAAATATTTGGTGTACTCACATTTGTCTGGATTCCTCCTCTGATTGATAAATCTCCTGGATTTGTCTTTGATTCCAAACTCTCTCCGGTGATATCTCCATGTTGTTTCTATATCTCTCTCTCTCTCAAAGAGCAATTAAGCTACGAGAGGGTACACACTAACACTATAGCAGCTCCTTTTAAGAGGGATTAACCACAACCACACAACCACACTACATTTACCGCTCGACCTCAACATTCCGCCGGGTTAACACTCGAAGAAAGCTAGAACTAGTTGGGAATTATAGGGTCAAAACTGTCTATCTAATATAGCTACTTTAGCTAGACTTTCTCTAGCCTTAAATTATTTTAAAACCCTTAAAATGTCCTTTAAAATTCTAACAATAAATCAATTTTCCTACCAAGAGCATGTTTGATTTTTTATTGATATTTTTTCAAATGATTTTTAGCAGGCAAAGGCTTGGCCCTTGGCTTTTAATAAAGTGCCCCAGACTCTCGCCAGTCGACGAGTAAATAAGTAATCAATGAAGGAATCAACTTACCTCGGCATCCAGGAGTCTCTGTTCGCCAACAGATTGCTGTGTTTGCTGCCCCGGTAAGCTGGTAATCCTAATCGGATCAAGTTAACATGTGCACACACACACACACAATGCGCCAGCAATTTAATTAGATATATTCATTGCAGACATTTTTAACCGCCAACAAGCACACAACATTGAGAGATGGTGAGAGCTCGATTAATTCCCATTTGTGATGATGCAGCAGTGGCTGCTGTGTGGCTGCTGCTTTTGATTTTAATTGCAATTGAACTTGTGTTTGTACTCTAACCATCGATATTACTCATACGCACCGTTGACCAGGATCAAAAGGGGGGGAACTCTTTGCTGGAAATGACATTAAAAATGTATTTAACATATGTGATTTCTTTGGGTTTTCATGAACATTTAATTACACAATTTATAAATATTAGTTTCAGGTTTATTCTAGACTTTAAATTGCTTAAAAATATTTATAAAAACTATAAACAAAAATTGTGAAATAACCATGACTTGCACAACTGAGTTTAAAGCTTTGAAATGTTCAAATTCCATTTGGAATCTTTTGCAGACAAAGTCCCTTTAGGATCCAAGGGACCTATGCAAATATATGTATGTATATATATTTTTATATACTATATAATAAATAACTTGTATACTAGCCAGTCTAGGGTATGAGGCGGGGAACTTACCTGGGGCTTTGATCTCACTTAATTCAATCACTCAGCAGGTTTTCGCCACTGGTTATGCGATATCCAAGGGAAGAGATCGCTGAACTCGGAAAACACGCGCCGACTGTGTTCTACGCAGCGCTAAGGTTCTGATCTTGGCTGCGCGTGTTTGAGGGTTTACAAGTAGTGGCCGACAGGGGGAGCTGTATTTTTTATAAATTTATAAATATTATAAAATATATATAAATAAAAAAAAAATATTCTAAAATATTAACACAATATTTCCAAAGACAGTTTAGACCTTTAAGTTTAATCTTGCTTTTAAATTTAAAAAATTATAAAATATATATTTTAAAACTTTATTTTATTTTAAAAATATATGAAAATAATGCAGTTTCAAATTGGAAATTTTTAAAAATTATTCTTTAATATAAAGAATGACTAAATAGAGCTCTCTGCATGAGAACTTTAGCCATAGTCTCATTTATAAGTTTATTCTTACTTTTACATTAAAAAAAATATATATATAAATATATATAACCCTTATTTTATAGTTATAATAAAAGAAAATACTGCAATCTTAAATTAAAACAAGAAATAAAGCTAACTTTGGCCAGCCAAAGTTGGTAACAATTAAAATATATCATAACTAAGCCAAAAATGCATTAATTTCGATTCGGAAAGCAGTTTTGTGTTAGTTTTTATTAATTTAAAAAAACTGCAAACCAAATTTAAAATTTTAAGAAATCAAAATTTTTGCTAATTTTAATGATGTAACCCCTTATCAAATTTCTCAAAAATGGCAAAAAAATCGATTTCTTCCTGACATGTCTAGAAAGATTCGCATGTTAATGCTGATCAAGAATATATATACTTTATAGGGTCGGAAAGGTCTCCTTCACTGCGTTGCAAACTTCTGACTGAAATTTTAATACCCTGCAAGGGTATAAATATTTTAAAAATGTATCTAAACTAAAACATGGATACAATGATCCTAACAGCAGCCTTGATAGAGCTCTCTAGACGAAATCTTTAACCATAGCCTCATTTATCAGTTTATCCTAACTTTTAAATCTAAAAAATGTATAAAAAAAAAACCCTCTTTTTATTATAAATAAAAATAATTAAATCTTAAATTAAAATTATATATAAAAATTAATCTAAAGTAAACAAAAAATGGATGCTTTGATCCTAAAGGAAGCCCTGCTGGCCTCACATCAACCACATCACCCATTCGACCCGTTGTCATTTAATCTCATTCGGGATTTAAGTGATCTTTTCTTTTCTTTTATTTCTTCTCTCTCTCTCTCTCTCTCTCTCTCTCTCTCTACACACACCTTTTTTTTTTTTTTTTTTTGGGCCCAAAACCTTTACGCAATGGGCCAGTTGCCACACCTGGCCAAGTGGCCAAGTGTGATTACTTGTAGGCCGACTTCAAGTAGGCTTAAAACTTTCACCGAATTTCCGAAGAGTCGTTGCGTTGACAAGCGCACTTGGAATTCATGGATCAAAAAAATCAAAAAAAAAAAAAAAAAATCCAATAAATAATAATAATAAAAGATCCAAAAATGAAATAAAGTCAATTCATGGAGTGCGGTTTTTTGTCGACAATTTCTCGCTCGCCCGAAGGTCAACAGTCGCAACTCGCGAAACTTCTCCAACGAATACCGATACCGTTTCGAAATTTTTTTTTTGTGGCCAGATAAACAGCATAATTAATATACAATACGAAACCCGTTTCAACTTGGGGGCCCCGTTAAGTAAACGGCTCGCCGTCAATTGTATAATTTTCGGGCAAAAAGGGCGTGTGTGCGTGGCTTGCATTGCGCAAATCCCCCTGATCCCGGCTCGGGCATGTCTTTGCCATAGCCTCTGCAGTTGCCTTCACAATAACCCAAAAGCTTAGCCACCGAAAAAAGCCAAACGAAATCTGGTCAAGGTCGACGCTTTTTGCACACAGCCCCCACTGCGTATACTTGATAGGGGGGAGATAGGGGGGTTCCCAGACACCGTTAAGCCCTAAGCCTCACCAGCTGTGAGAGCTCTAAGCCTTCGGCTCAGCAGCTCAATTAACTTCAATTCGATTGTGGCCCAAAAGCAGCCTGAAATGATAGCCAGACACACTCAAGGGAGGGAGGGAGTTCCTCTCCTGACCCCAGAAATTCATTGTTAAATGCAAAATACTTTGAATAAATAATGGTAAATAATTTTAATAGAGAAAACTTTGATTGTGTGATTTGTCAAGAGCTGCTGCATTACGTGTAAAAGAAAGAATTTTCAAGGGAAAAAGTCGCTCTAGTTAATTTCCCTCTTAAATCCTTTCAAATAGAATTGAAACCCTTCAACTTGGTGAAACCCACTCCCCATGAATTGACAGCCATCTGCTATTTACAGCCACTTGGCAGTCAATAAATACTTAATAAGTACCACTCTCTTAGCAAAAGCAGAGCTTGTTTATGGGAAAGTGGCGGGCGATCCTTCCTCCATTCATACATACGTGACCCCCTTAGAGGGAGATTTCCTACTCCTACTCACTGCTCCCTTCATTACGTGTAATTGTCACGTAGAACAGCAGCAACGTAACAAAGGACACTTGAGCCAGCAGTCTCTGTAATTGTATATCCATGTGTGTGTGTGTGTGTGTGTGAGGATAACCGCTGCAGTTTGTATACCACACTCCCTAGCCCACCTCCTGCTTATGCCCCAACGGAATAAGCAATTAGACATCGGTCAGTGGCTTTGCCGGGTAGTTAACTGTTACCTGTTACCCGTTACCTGTTACCAGTTTCCATCTCATCCTTTGCCGGCCTTGCTGAGTGATTGCCTGGCCAACCGCAAGGGAAGCGCACCTGCTGCGGAAGGAATCGTGTTTGGCCGGTGCTTCATCCAAATCACAGACGCATCAATCAGCGGCTATCCTGGCCATGGAGCCCACCTCGTCCAATTCATTTTCAGTTCTCAAAATGGGAATTGATTTATTTCAGAACCTAATGCCCCTCTCCTAGGATAACGTTTCTCTGCATTGATTCATTACGGTGTTCGTCCTAGATACACCTAGAGAAATTCTAGGTAAATTGTATAGTTTTTTTTTGAAGAAATAAAGGAAAATCTAGAAAATATTTTGATGGCAAATTAATAAGTTTATAATAAAGAATTTTCTAGATTTTCTTTTAGATAATTTCTATGTCATCTTGCTACTCCTGATACCCCTTTTGGTGTTCAGTGCATCATTATAGTTATTTACGGAGCTGGAAGAGGAGTATCCTTTGCCTTTCGGACATTTCTGTGAACAGTATTCCCTTGTCTCTGCTCCTCTGCGGCTGACAGCTCAATTCTGAATCCTGAATCCTGACTGACTCCTGACTGACTGACTCCTGACGGGCCTTTTGCATGCAGCTTCGGTGGAATTTATGCCCAGGTCATTAGCTGGAAATGGCCAGCAATGTTGGTGATTTGCATCGCCTGTTCACCAGCTCAACAGTTAATGCCGAGGTGAAGCCCATCTGGCAGGCAATCAATTAGACTCCGGATTCGAAAAGAGCCAGAAGAGCCCCAAAAGTATACAACACCAGAAACATTCGGAAATTGTTTTATTTTCGCATCGATTGCTGTTTGTATTTACATAAAAACACCGAGATTTAGCCATATATAACATTTATATATATAAATATATTCGAATAATTGCAATTGCCAAGTTCGTTGAAGTGAAGAGCTAAGATTTAGTATTTATTTGGTTTTAAATTTGCACACTTTCTGCCCGTTTCATCTAAGTTTGTCTACTTAAAATTGGATTTCCTCACATTTATATAAATATTACTATGTATATATATCTTATTATTTTTTTTTGTGGACAACCTAAGTAAGTATTTTGAACGAGGCGGGTCCGAGTTCGAGTTGGAATCGGAAACGGAGACACCGGCTACGCTGTAAAATGCGAACCTGGATTCGTTTGAAACCTACCGCTGTGCAGGAGTCCTGATTTGGGTATTCTCAATGTGGGGTTAATATTTAACAGGGGGTTAAATAAAGTAGATAAACCGAAAGAACCCTAGGGTTAATCTTGCCTCTGAACGGTCAGAAGCTTAAACTTAACTTGCATCCTCTTCTCATTACTTCCTTTTATTCCTAACAGACACTTTTTCTACCCGTTAATATTAACCGGAGACTGAGAAAGCTACCCTTAAATGTAGTAGATAAACCAAAGGTCTACTAGAATCCTAGGTTTAATCTCACCTGTAAATATTTTAGGCTTTTACCTTCACTTCACTCTCTCATAATTACCCTCTCACCCTGACAGGGACTTTATCTACCCGTTAATTAGCCCTTAAATGTACATTTTATGTAAACAAAAAGAAACGCGAGGTCAAAGCCTAGTAACTCACATCAATTAACTCGCCTTGGCGCAACTCTAAAACGGACACATACGTAGTTTAAAAACATTAATTGCTAGGTTTAACATTCCCTAGATCCTACCAAATCCTCCTGGCCACCCTGCTCCTCCTCCTCCTCCGCCTCCTCCTATAGCTCACTCCACCCACATTCAGAACGCGGCAGAATCGTTGACAACCACACAGTTTCTATTGCAGTTAGATTGCATCATCACAAATAAGAGAGAGTCACCACCACTACAGCGACTCCGTCTCTGCCATATCAGCTCCAACTTGGGGCTTTGGCCTCCGCCGGCTGGCTCAGAGTCGCGGGCTCTCCAGAATCGTATGGCTGGACATGACCGAGTTGGCCAGGGCAATCGAGTTCCCAGCCACGGAGAGATTCGTTTCGTTCTTGGACCGTCGCCGCCAGAAGCAGCAGGGTGCACACAGTCGCTCACAGATTCGCATGCCCTTGAAGGTGTCCACAAAGGCGCGCCGGAAGCTGGCATTCATGAAGCAATAAGTGATGGGGTTGCAGCAGCTGGAGGAATAGGCCAGCAGCTGCAAGAAGCTAATGGCCGTGTAGCCCACATATTCGTACACCGCCGGTCCCAGGAGCATGGTCATTGTGTTTATCACATACAGCGGTGTCCAGCAGATGAAGAACTCCAGGACCAGGACGAATAGCATCTTCACCACGCGTTTCTTACTCTCCAGGCTCTTGCTCTCGTTGGATCTGCGCGGCACAATGCTGGGGGGGGAAAGATGAGGATTTGGAGAGGGGTTTTCAGGTTTTTCTTTTCTTTGAGATCTCTGAGCTCACCTTCGCAGTCCCGCCTCTGTGATGCGCAGGCTAGGCTGGGACAGGGACTTGCGCCGGGACTCGTTGTCGCTGATATAACCCTGCTGCTGCTGCTGTTGCTGCTGCGGATGCTGGTGATGCTGCATCTGGTGTCGCATCCGCTGGGCCCGGCTGCAGCAGTCTCCTCCTGCTCCACTTGCTCCCCCGTTGACCTGCTGCTGCTGCTGTCGCAGCGACTTGACAGAGGCACTCCTCATGCAGTACAGGTGTCGCCGCCCCTCACAAGGTGCTCCGCCCAGCAGCCGCCGCTTGCTGCCGCCATGGGCATAGTCCGCTGTGGCAGAGAATATTATTTCAAATAAATATTAGTAAAAGGGTATCGCGGACTTTACCCCTTGTTTGCTCCCCTATAATCACCTCAAATCAATTTGAAACTCATAAAAGGTATATAATCCACCCCTCAACAAGCTAATGATACCTCAAATCACAGATAGCATGCAGCTAATCACCCAGAAATCGGTGGCAGCACGCAATCCCCAGATATCACGAGTCCACAGAGCTAAGCTTCAGCTTCACTTTCTACTGGTAAGCCGTTCTCGATGCTACTTCCACTGGTCTTAGGCCTGCTACTCCTACTCCTCCTGCTGCTCCTGGACTTAATCTGGCGTGGAAACCACTGGCAACGCCTGGGAGTGCGAGGACCCCGAGGCTGGCCACTGGTGGGGAATATGTCCCAGTTTGCCTTGGGTCGTTGCTCTTATGGAGAGGTTTATGCAGATCTGTACAGGTGAGTTGATTTAACTGGAAATATAAGTTCCCCTTAAAAGACTTTGAATCCTTCTCCAGGCGGAATCCCGGCAAGCCCTATGTGGCCTTCTACCGGCTGTTCAATGAGCCTGCTTTGCTTATTCGTCAGCAGGATTTGCTGCGACAAATCCTTGTAGGAAACCACTTTGCCGACTGTTCAGACAATGCCGTTCATGTGGATCCTAATAAACGCGACATCCTGGCCAGCTTTAATCCCTTTCTGGCCAGCGGTGATCGCTGGCGCCTGCTGCGCGGCGACCTGGTGCCCCTGTTCACGCCCAGTCGCCTCAGGCAGCTGCTGCCGCATGTAAGCCAGGCCTGTCGGTTGCTCAGGGAGCACCTGCCTCGAGAGTCTTTCGAGGCCAAGGAGTGGGCCACACGCTATACCCTTCAGGTAATAGCTTCAGCGGTGTTTGGTGTGGATGCTTATTGTCTACGGTCAAGGGAGGAAGATAAGGACAACCCTTGGCTAAAGTTGCTGGCTCCGCTTTTCCAGCCAAGTTCCTGGAGCCTGCTGGAGACAGTGTCCTTGCTGCATTCGCCTGGATTGGGAAGGCTGCTAAGCTACAGGTGGGTCTTCCTCTCCCTTTAAAAGCATTTTCGATTGACATGTTGAAGCACTTATCCTTCTATATTTATCCTTAAGCCAAGGTCTAGTCGCCTTGATTGAACAAATTAAATCTAAAAGTTTTCCCTAAACCCTGTACTCCTAAACCCCACCAGGTATGTTCCTTTATCTGTGCAGCACTGGCTCCTGACCTTGGTGGAGTCCAGAAGTGAAACAAACAACCTCCTCCACTGGTTAGACACAGAGGGCAGGCGAGGTTTGGATCCTTTGGAGCTGGCTGGGCATGCCACCACTCTGGTGCTAGAGGGCTACGAGACCTCGGCCATGCTCTTGGCTTGTGCTCTCTACGAATTGGCCAGGAATGAGGATATCCAAGAGAGACTGCACAGGGAACTGGATGAGCAGGAGACTGCTGCTGATTTGCTGGACAATGTGGTTTTGGGGAAGCTTCACTACACGGAGGCTGTGCTAATGGAGACACTGCGTTTGCATCCGGTGATGCAGGCCTTGCAGAAACGTTGCACCAAGTCCTTTAGGCTACCAGAAGGAGGACCCATAGTACAAGTGGGCACGGTATTGGTTTTGCCTGTTCAGGCTATACATTTGTGGGTGTCCTTTACCTTACTTTTGGGTGTTTTTTTTTTTAATTTCTTAATATTATTTTATATTTTAGGGACTCCTCACTTCACCCTGAACCGGAGTTGTTTCGCCCAGAGCGCTTTTTGGACCAGTCTTCCATGGGCTGTAGCTTCCTGGGCTTTGGTGCTGGTCCCCGCATGTGTCCTGGCCAGCGTTTTGGCTTAATGCAGACAAAGGCAGCTTTGGTCAGCTTGTTAAGGGATAACCAAGTGCTGGAGCACAATGGAGGAGAGGTCTTGGAGGTGTCTCCTGTGACCTTCCTTACAGCAAGCAAAAAAGGCATCTGGCTGAGTTTGGAGAGAAGAAGATCAGGCAGAAAGTCAGGTCCTTACAGTTCATAGAAATTTCTTCTTTACTTTTACTTTTCTAGAAGAGATTCCCTTAGAATTAGGAAGGATCCTATAAGGTCCTAGAAACAACTTCTTTCTTTACCAAAATGAATCACTTGATATCTTGTTATCATTATCCTTAAAACCCATTTATTCCACATTTAAAATCCCAAATATGACAAGGATTCCAGCTCATTCAGTGGCCAGGACACCACAAACTCTGTGAAAAATCAAACATTTCCCCGGCTCTAGCAAATACATAGTTGCTGAGCCGAGGATAATTCAAATTGCTATTAAACTTATCGTCACTCCAGGGGGGTAGTGCGCGGAATGTGTGCGATATTATGAGCTTATAATAACATGGCATTTGGCCTATATACTACATACTACTTATGCAAGGCTTCTCTGAACGCACATGGTAGTGGGTGGGTGGGTGGATGAGAATAGGAGCCTCTCCAGGCTAGCAATTTATGATGGGGGTAATGTCAAGCGATGGCCGTAAACGAAGCGAAAAGTTTTTAGAATTTAATCAAATTTATTGTTTGGGGGGAAGGCGACAGTATGTGAAAACGAGTCCTGTTGCCGTCGTGCCAGCAGGATAACGGCCTTTACCGAGCGCTTAAATGCCTGTTCCGTGCATAATTTACGGCACTTAAATTGACCTTTTTGTGTCGGTGAAAGTATCCAAAGTCCTAGTAAGTATCCTGTTTTGGTACTGACCATCGAAACAGGAAACGAAATGAATCACTTGTCAGGAAATGGCGGCCTCTATGCTAATGCTATGCTGCCAGGATGGCATCTTTAGAGGATTTGATGTGGAACCCTTTCATGCAAATTAGTCGCTCCGGGACTTGGTTCTCTCTTCCACCTCGACGGGAGTTTAATTTGTAGCAGAGATGGGGTAGAAGGAGTGTGTTTTGCAGATGAAAGAGTGTGATTTCCATGGGGGACAACAAGATTTTGAGCTTGTTCTGTGCTCTGTACTCCTGAATCCTGGCTCCCAGCTCCCGGCTCCTTGCCCCCAGCCCTGAGTGAAGCATTTATCAAACACGTCACGTTGCCTGCAGGAATCCAAACGAGAGTAGAGTCTCCTCCAATATCAGTCGAATATATATGTATATGAGGCCTTTAAGGCCGCATTAAAGGCGAATTAGCCGCATCGATCTGAGAGAGAGTCCTGAGAAGCCGCAGGCTGCTGGAGTTTCCGCGTCCATAATCTGCGGATTATTCACAGCAACCAAAATTCCCCGCCATTCTAGCCACGGGGAGTGCTCTTAAAGCCGTCGATGCGAATGCAAATGAAAGTGAAAATGCTCGCAGCTCCAACTGGAGGTTTGCTGCTACCTCCCACCTTCCCCAGGGGAGCCCACATTGTTGGCACCTCCTCCTCGCCTTGGGCTGCTCCGCTTCCGCCGCAGTCGCAGAGTCGCAGAGTAGCTTTTCGTGCGTGGCAAACTTGGCCCCTTTGCAAATTGTGTGTGACGCAGTTCAGCACGGGGGAAGTCGTCTGGAGAAGCGCAGCCATTGGACTAATCTCGGATGGCGTCCCCCCCGGGAGCAGTCGCAACTAATAAAGCTCTCTGGCAGCCTTTGACCCGTGCAGCGGGTTAAATGTCAAATTTAAGCAAGGAGCCCCTCGAAGGGGATGTTATATCTGAGAAGAAGAGGTTTGCTCTTGACTATTTACTAATAATCTCCTTATTGAGTTTCTTGCTATAAAAACTTGATTATTTCATAAAACCCTCTTGCCACCCCCCACCCACAAAGAAACCCTTAAAGTTTATTAGAATTTTTCCATTCACTCACCGTAATAGTACTGCGGATGGTGCTGCTGCTGCGCCGCCACAATCGTGTCCAACGATTGGCAATGGCTTCCGTTGGCGCCGTTACGCCGCTGACTGCCCGGCCCACCGGCGGATGCGGAACCGGAACCCGAGCCGGGGACCAGCTCCGGACCGCTGCTGCCAAAGTTCATGGCCCGTTCGTTGCGCATGCTCACGTACAGGGTGCGGGTGATGAACAGGTAGGTGAAGCTCAAAGCCAGCAGGGGCAGGACGAGCAGAGCCAGGTCCAGGAACAGGTTGTAGGCCCTCTCATAGTTGAGGCTATCCGCTGGCCACTGCTCCCGGCACTTGCGAAGGCCTAAATAAAATACAAAATTGAATAAAATTAATAATTAGTTTAATTATTAATGACTAGCTTCCCACTCACCTGGTCGACTGGTGGGCATCAGCTGGCTAAAGGCGGCTATGGGCGTCATGCAGACCAGACTGCCCAGCCAGATGATGGCTATGATCTTGTTGGCATGGTTGATGGTCTGCCAGGTGCGTGACCTCAAAGGATGACAGATGGCATAATAGCGCTCGCAGGATATGGCCACCAAAGTCCAGGAAGACACGGCCACGGAGGCGGCTTAAGTGGGCAGAGATTAGGAAGAGATTAAAGACCACATAAAGGTGTCTATTATTATGGCTAATCTATGGCCAATTTCTAGTACTCCATTAAATTTAAGCTTTATGTGTTACGCTTTCAATATTAATGGGTCTACCTTCCATTTCGTTACCCTCGTAAACTTTTATTTTCCTGGCCAATTGTCTCGCTTGGTCAACGACTTCATTAAGGGTCTCTGGGAAGCGGAGAGGATGGAAAGGGAATAATTAAACTGCTAACTTGTTTTTGGCTGCTGCGCCTCATTTGAGCCGCGATAGGCATTCAATCTCTGGGACTCATGGCCCACCATTTGCCATTTCAATTGCAATCGCAATTCCAAAAAAACCCAATCCCGATTGCCAACTTAATCCCGCCTCCGTCAACGCCATCAATGGCGCAATAAAAGCCAAAACACACACACACACACATAAATGAGCCTAGAAAAGGTTTGGGTTCGTGTTTGGGTTTGGGTTTTGGTTTTGGGTTTAGGTTCCTGGCCACATGGACCACGAAGCTGATGAAACAGGCAAAGCTCATTAACAAAATTAAATTTAGCTCTGTCGCGCGACTGACGCCGCTCTGCATCCCCCCGGTCTCTGCCTTTTCCCCGTTTTGGCCTGGCCAAAAACGGACCACGGCTCGGTGATTTCCGCAACAAAAATGTAAATTTTATGGAAATGCTGTAAATAGAAGCCGGAACGGACCGCAACGTGCGCCAACAATGAAATGAATGAAACGCAAATACTCGCACCCCATATCCATGGGAAAGCACGCTGAGAAAGGGCTGTGCCATCGATTGTGGTCTCTTTGGACTTGGAAAATTGAAAATATTTAGTTTAGAAATGCTCTTTTTGGGGAGCTTATACTGGGGATATTGGGAAATGTATTCAAATGTATGATTTAAATTTAAGAAAAGTAATTTAATAATAAATTACAAATTTAAAGTAAGATTTCAGGAAAATTCAGTAAATGTTTAGAAAAATGTTGGAAAATTTTCAATACAAATTATAGAAAAAATTCAGAAAAAATCAATAAAATTTTAGAGAAATTTTAGACAACTTTCAGATAAATTTAAGAAAAAATTAGAAATTTTTCCGTAAAAAAATTCAATAAATTTTTCAGAAAAAAAATTCAATAAATTTTTCAGAAAAAAAAAACATTAAAAAAAATGCAGACAAAATTAAAAGAAAATTTCTGGAAAATTTCAGTACTATTTTATGAACATTTGAAGAATATTTAGAAAAATTGCAGGAAATTTTCAGGAAAATGTAAGGAAAATGTAAGGAAAATTTCAGTAAAATTACAGAAAAATTTTAAGAAAATTTGCAGGAAAATTTTAAGAAATTTTAATACATTTTTTTGGACATTTTCAGGAAAATTTCAGGGAAATGTAATTAGATTTTCTGAAAAAATTCATAAATTTCTTAGAAAATGTTCAGAAAAATGACGGGAAAAAAATTCAGACAAAATTCAGAACAATTTAAAAGGAAATTTCAGGAAAATTTCTTTTGTTAAATAAAATATTTTATTTAAATACCAACACATGTATCTGTTCTTTGAGTCCCTGAATCCTGCAAAAAAGGTGGAGCAGGAACCCTAAGAAACATCAAGTAGTTACTAGGAAATGGGAAATGGAATTTGAAAGCGAGCACAGGGAAAGCTTTCGCTGAGACTACCATGGATAATCCCACCTGGATCTTTGCTCTACTCTATGCCCTTACCACTCTCCCCTCACCCCAAGGCGGATTAGGGTGTTCCAAGCTAAGCTGCCAGAGGGAATACCCTAGACCGGACCAGAGAGCACTGCCCACATTCGAATTTGCGAGATCTCAGGTGCTCAAAGCCGGCTTGAGTCGACAAATCACAATGGGCTTCGGTCACCAGAGGCAGGCCAGGAGCCAGATCCAGTCACAGTCCTAGTCCTAGTCCCAGTCCTCGTTCCAGTTACAGTCCTTCCCCCTCCCCCTTCGGCTGCAGTGGTGCGTGTTCGAGTGACAAACTTCAAATGGTTTTTTCATGCAGAAGAGACATCCTGTGTGTGGAAATGGGCGAGGATAACTTTATGTATGCGGTTCCATGTTGCCATGTGTGCGGTCTATGGAATTGCAAATTGTGCCAGTATGTGGGGGAGGGGGATTGGGGGAAAAATGAAACGAAAAACAGAAAATCCAACAGCTCCTACTCGAAGCCTGGCCATTAGTTTACCACTTTGCCATCGGTCGGCCACCTTTGACATTTTGAGGTCTGCAATTAAAACAGCATCCATCCGGCCTCATTTTCCAGCTGTTTATGGTTGGCCCAAGGCTCAAACGGCAAACTGAAATGATTTTCCGAAAGTCCAAAGAATTCCCGAATCCCAAAAACCCAAGCGCACCACTTGACTTTTTCCGGGGGCGGCTGGCTGCCAGTGTAAACTTGATTCCAGGCTTCCCACGTTGCACACAAAATGAACTTTCATATTTTCACAACAGTTAATTGTGCAGGTCGGGTTAGCTGCACATAGTTTTCCCATTTTCCTCTTCTTCTTTTTCCGGCTTGTTATTTGCCTTTCGATCTTCCTGGTATTTTTATCCTTTTTTTGGCTCGAGTTCTTGGAGTTATTACATTAAATGAAGGCAAACAACCGCAAAAGTATAACTGCCCAACGCCCACCTGGGTCTCTTTTGGCCAGGATAAGTTTTATTTTTTGCTGCTGCTCCTCCAGAGGCACCAGACCATGGCCCCCCAAGTTGGGCTACAACTAAATCCACAACTCAACGGCAAAGAGGATGGTAAATAAACGTAGTGAGCACACAGAGAAATAGTATATAAACCCGAAGAGATTGCTGGCTGGAATCGAAACAGCTGCATTTATAGAATTGAAGTACTTTTCAGCTGACAAAACGAATATTCAAGACTCGCTTTGTGTGGATTAAATCAAGCGTAAACACTCGGTATCAATAAAATGGTTTTCCAATCAAATCAAAATCAAAATCAAAACTAGGAAATACTGTGGAAGCCTCAAATAAACAGAAATAGAATTCCATTTTAATTAACTAACACTTTTAGTTTTTATTTTTACCTTGAGGCAATTTCTCTTCTTTAATAAAAATAAATAAATAAATTTTTGTACAAATTTTATTGCTCACATTTATCATTTTCCCCTGAAACATAATCTCTGTATTAATGAAAATGATAATAAATTAAATAATAAATAAATATTATATTAAATTAAAAAATTTAAATAAATATTTAAAAATATTAAATAATAAAAATGTAATAAAAATTAAAAAAAAAAATTAATAAAAATGTAATAAATATTAAATAAATATTAAATAAATTTGAAATAAATTTTAAATATATATTAAATAAATATTAAATAAATATTAAATAAATATTAAATAAATATTAAATAAATAAATAACTATTAAATAAATATTAAATAAATAAATAACTATTAAATAAATATTAAATACATTTTAAATAAATATAAAATACAAATATTTTTCTTTCTCTGCCTCTCAAAAGTCTCTCTCTTTGTTTGGCCTGTAATTTACATTCAAGTTCTGAGGTCAAAGTGGAAAGTTGAGTACCAATTAAAGGCGCCCACCGACTGACCATATCTACTATCTCCTTCGAATAAAAGAGTTTCTCCTTGCACTGCATTTCGCATCCATCTTTATCCCTTTTCCCTTTAATGAGCGTAGCTCAACACAAATGTACTTATAATGACAAGAGCAGATCCTGCCTGGAGCTGGACTCTGTTATGGTAAGCGACCGCAAAGCGTCATCATAACTAATTGCTCGCCATGTGCTTTGGGTCCATACACTCACTTTCCATAGACATTAAACAGCTAAGAGGGGTGCTTGAGGAGTTGTTAGGGAAGAACATGACACAAAAGACTCCAGTTAATTTAAATCACAGAGTTAACTGCTGGTTAACTTTCTGTAAATAAAAATTGTTTGTTTTTTATTTTTTTAATATTTTTTAAAAATAATAAGGTATAATTTTTAGTGCTTAAAACCAAATCTCAATGTTAACAGCACATTTTGTACTCTATAAAGTAAGTCCCTGTTAACTTTTAACACTTGGTTAATGGATATGAAATTTTATATATTTTTATTATATTTTTTAAATTCATAGAAACCTTTTTATAATTCTAAAAATATTCCTAGTTTTAAAAAATACTTTTCTTAAATTTAAAAAAATATTTAAAGCACTTTGTTAATGTTAACCCTTGGTTAAGAAACTATTTGAAACCACCTCGTTTCGGGATTTAAATGCTTTTTGTGTGCGTGTGTGTGTGCGTATTATTAAAGTAAAATAAATCGCAACCACCAGATTCGCACTCATATTCACGGCTTGCGTAAATATTTAATGTAATTTATATGCGAAAATTGCAGCACAAAACAGGCTCATAAATTATTGTTATCAAATTGGAAATGACTTTTGGGCCGAAAGCATGCAAATCGATGGGCACAGAGATACACATGGCCCCCCATTTTCTATTTGGCACCGCATTACGGGGAGTCCCAGAGTCCTGGACTTCACATTCTCATCCTTAAGGAACAAAAAAAAATCCCAAACAATTTGGGATTGCCCTCTGGTCGTTGTTTTTGATTTAGCGCCCATTCGCTACTCAATGACAATAAGTCCCAATCCCAATCCCAATCCCAATCCCAATCCCTGTCTTGGCCATTTCCAGTTACATAACTCGCAGCCATAACTGAAAGTGGATTTTTATGGACTCGTCAGGACCTCTATCCTGCTGAGTCTTCAATAAAAATAATTCCAAATTTGAGACAACAATAAAAAACGTTTTTTGGGGGCAAACAAAAAAAAAGTTTCTTTTTTCTTTTTTTTTTTTGTGCCCCGAAACTCGACGCGAAAAAGCAGAAAAAGTATATCTGCCAGATACCCACATCCTGCAACGCAGGCATCCTTGATGGACAAGGAGTATCAGCTGGCAGATTTGTTTCTGTGATTTCTGTACAACTTTGTG